TTGGAATTAAAAAAGATTTTTTCGAGTACACTTTCAATTTCTCAAATATTATATTCTACTTTGTCATTGTTTTCCATTGATTAAAATTTGTGACAGAAATATATTTACTTGATTTTGGAATAAATATTTCATTGAAAAATTTCAAAATCGACAACAGTTTCGTTCGACCCCGTGCATCGCACGGGTCAAAATACTAGTTTATTATAGAATTGGGGCAGAATTAAAAAAATTTAGTTTACATATTAAAAAACTACATCGACAGCTCTATAAAGCAAGAAGAAATAAGGCTATATTATTTTATTAAATGAGTAACGAAAATAAGAAAAGAAAGTTTTACCCTGTGAATAGTAAACAGACAATTTAATTTGGGATGGAGGGAGTAATATGGTCACTCTTATAATTATTAATTAATTCATCCAACAAAAATGCACTAAATAACTTTTATGCTCCGTTCTAGATTTGTGTACTTTATTAAACAAAAAATAGAATTATTTGAATAATATATTTAAGATGTAGAAGAAGAAACGAGAAACTAATATTCACTCTCCTAGAATAAGGTTCATGTTGCGGTTTACGATGTTTGCTTGAAGTTATTTTCAAATCAGTATAAGTAAAAAATGGTGTATAATTAAAATATAAAAATTTTATAATAAAAGACTACATCAAAAGTTCTACAAAAGAAGTAAAGAATGAGTTATTTTATTTTATCAAATCATCGATGTAATTGTATAAAGAAAGTAGAATTGGTTTGACCTTGAGAATAGTAAACAAGAACCTTATTTGAGAAGCAATCTACCTTTGCTAGAAGTAAAACATAGAGAAAATACCAAAATATATTTTTAATAGTGCAAATTTCACTTTTGGGTAATTTACCTAAATAGGACTAAAACATAATGACTTTCTCAATATAGGACCATATGTTTTTATTTTCCAATGTAGGACCATTGATCATTATCTATTGGTCATTATTCAACCAAATGTCCAGCACCACTTGGACATTATTCTTCTCATTAGTCATTATTAAGTCCTATTTACGGAATAAAAAAGTTTAAGTTCTACATTGGGAAATTATTTTTGTTTTAGTCCTATTCAGTGCAAATTTCACTTTTTAACATGGGTAAAAATACGAAGCTCCTATTTTGATATTTTTTTCATGTTTTACTCTTAGTTTAGTCTTTTACCCAATCTAATAAAAAGATGTTAAAAGTCTCTAAAATATAGTTACAACGTGATTTTGATCAGAAATCCTACAAGATATATCGTGTATTTACATTCAAAGCACTTACAAAAGAAGCATATATCAAGAATTTCGTTCAAAAGCAAGAATCCAAGCCTTCTGATGTTTCTTTTGCTCATGTCTATGTCTATGTATCAAAAATTCAATGTCTAGACGAAATGGTTGAACAACAACCTCACACTTTTGTTGTACCTATCCACATCAATTGGAAGCTAAGTATTGGCATTGGTGTTAGGTCTTGGAACCGGTCAGCCGTTGTGTACAAATTCACAATTACCATCTAAGAGCATATGAGACTGCACAAATCTTCAATCCTTGAGGGTGAGATGTGGGTGTAAGGGAGAATTCTGAAGTTTCCATTGTCTGAGCATGTCAAGATCAAGTGCTCTGAGTTTACCATGGTCTGCAAACAGCCAAAAATTGAGAAAATAAGGGTAAAAGTGTTATTTCCTTACATTTCAGCCATATCATTCTAATAATAACAATTTATGCACTAATGGTTCCTAATAACGTGTATTTGGTACTCCGTATAATGGATGGTCTAAAAATTCAGTAGGCAAATGCCGCTTTCTCCCTTCAGATATATGAAGTTATTGCAGGCAGTTATGAGTGCATAGCCTTAAAGAGCATGTTTGGGATACCACAACACAACCAAGCCTAAATTCCAATTCAATGGATTTGCTACATGAACCAATATAATTATATAAAATCTAAACAATCAAAACCCACTCTTTCCATTCTTTTCTGACATAGCATCATATGTTCATTAAGTCCTCAAATGAATCTCTTTACACCTTCAGTCCAAGTCATTTTGGGTCTACCCCGACTTCTCTTTAAGTCTCCCACACTCGCGAACTTCATTCTCGGTACGGGGGAACCTACTTCCGTGTTGGGGATAAAGTGCTTTCTCACCTAACCAATCTACTGATTTCTTAAATACTCAGTTACCATAGAGTCTTATTTTTAAGTTAAAGATATGTTTTAAATTTCCTTGCCAAATGTTTCTTTGGAAGTAGTACATTTCTCTACTAAAAAAGCATTCGTTCTTTGAAAATAAGTAATCTGGAATGCTCATCACCTCCTTTCAACATGAGTTTGTGCTTTGAAACTTATAAACAGCATCTCATTTTCTTGATTTCTCTTTTGGTAAAGCAAATTTGGTAAGGGATTCGTTATTGTTTCCTATTCAATCATACCTCGCAGTGTATTGGTTTGTCCACACAGCTACCCCATTTGGATGAAATGCAATCTATGTATTTACACCAGCTACAATACATGTTCGCATTAGTTCCACGAAGAACTGCCATGTAGACTCCTACAAACCTGCATTTCAAGAGAATTCTTTCAAGTTAAAAATATAAAGGCCTCTGGGAGAACTATACCTTAAATGAAGTGGCAGAAACTCACAGAAATAAGAAGATGGTAAGAGAAATGCCCCTCAGAAATGGCCTGTCCAACTTCTGCTTCAATTTAACTTTTTGTTTGAGATCATACTCAAACAAGCCTCCCTTCGCTTGAGCCCTTCTGTTGAGTTGTGGTTTGAATAGTATCACAAACCCAATAAGGAAACCAGTTATAAATCCTCCAACATTGGAAAAGTTGTTGATGTACGGTAACAAACCGATGATGAGGTTGACAACCAAAATCATCAAAATTACAAAAACAGCTGCAAGCTGAAATTACACAAAGGAGAGGTCACATTCTACTCCATGCAGCAAATAAAGGGAAACCGCAAGAGGAGAAGGACTAAAACAGTTAAGACCTTTTTGGTGTAAAATTTCCAGTTTCTAATGAGCCCAGACAGCATCATACCAAGCAATCCAAATAATGCTCCAGATGATGTCACTGATGTTTTATCAGTAACGAAAAGCGCAGCCACCAAGCTAGCTGTAATGGCAGACAGTATGTAGCCAACTCCAGTCCTGACTGAAGAACATGGTGGAAATGTATATGGGATACACATCAACATCACCACGTATATAATACTCCGGAGTAGTAGTAATAGTAGTAATAATAATAATGAAGATTGAAATGATTACTTGATCCAAACTCTTGTTCCATGTGAATTCCAACAAAGACTACACTGCACAAGTTTACAATGATGTGGAAAAGTCCTGCATGCAACAATGGGCTGGTGAAAACACGCCAGAATTGGTGATTATCAATGAACAAAGTCTTCTTAAGAGCCCCAACTTTATCAAGCCTGCAAAACAAAGTAATTATACATCAAACACCCAAAAGATATTCAATTTAGTTTGGCAATTCTAAGAAGAAAAAAACGCAGCAGGCCAGCACTTGTTACTGCAGCATATGCTAACCCTTCCAACTGAAACTATGAAGGACTGAAAATTCTAATTACTCCGTATTTATTTGAAAAAAAATTGTATAGAACGTGCAGGAATGGTTTAATTCAAAATATAATTCAATTCATCACGAGTCGTTCCATTTTGATTGCCAAGGCCTGTAGGAGGTATGATCCACACAAGAATTCATAGTTCACTTCGTTAAGATTCACGAACATTCAAAAACAAAATTCATGAAAAACAATCCTGTGAAATTGAAAGCATATGAACTATGAAGCCAACATGAGCAAGATGCATGAAATTACAGAAACCTTAGTGTTATATATATGCTCAGATGGAGTTACAATAATTCTTCTGAAAAAAATTTAAGGTGGAAATCGTAGAAGAAATAAAACAACATAGATTAAGATCTTGAAGATAAATTTTTATCAAACACCTCGTAGGCAAGACACTTAGTTCAAGCAACTGTGGCAGTAAATCACTTACGCAGAGGCGGAGGGGCCAAGCAAGGGATTCTCGTGGAGGGGCTGAAAGGAGACCATTCTGAGGAATTTAACGGAGCACTGGCCGTGAGAGTTGTGCCAACAGTCGTTGACGATCATGGTGGCCGTGAAGACAATCAGGTGTACGATCACGAACAGAGAGATGATCCACGCATTCTCGCTCTTCTGCGACAGCGGCCTGAAGAACGGGAAATTGACTCTCTTCTCCTCCGCTAGATCATCTCCGGCGAGGGACAACCGCGGTGGGGCCAACGCCGGTGGAGGAGGCAGCGCTGACGACGAGCTCTTGATGTCGACTTTGGTTTCGTATTTGGCAGTCTCCTCCTCCGCCGTCATTGCCGTTATCAGAGAGATGATATTATTATCCGATGCCGGAGTTATATATTGGAGCTGGAGTGGTGCAGCAATGGCGGATTGGTTGGCTGGATGGATTCTCCGTTTTAAGCGGGGTGGAATCTTGAAGGCGGGGGTTTTGGAAGGAAAGTTTGTTAAGAAGTGGATGGATGAATTAGAGCATTGGCAGTAGGGATGGGCAAACGGGTCAAGGAATCGGAAGTAGAAACCGAACCACTAGGTTCGGTCCGGGTTAGGTGCCGGTCCTCTTTTTGAAAATTTATAACGGTTCGGGTCGGTCCGATTTTATAGATTTTAGGGTCGGTCCGGTTCCTCATTTTAAAATTGTATTAGACCCGGACCGGACCGTTTTTTAATACCCGAATATTATTTTTAGTAAATACACCATTTTTAATAAGGTGAATTCCCTGTTTGTGTAAAAAGTGTGCAACGCATTCCTTTATATTAATTCAAATATTCATTTTCTCGAATAATGTCAACCGGATTTGCCTACTCCGTTTTGGAGGTATTTATTTCCCCAAACGGATTAGGCTAATCCGTTTCACTCATTTAATTACTAAACGGATTAGCCTAATCCGTTTTGCTTTTAATTTTTTTAAATAATTTCTTAATGTACGGAGCTCATTTGTTGCTTAATTTTTTTTTCTTTAAACTTTTTTTAGTTATTTTTATAAACAATTTTAAAAAATTAACTCCACTTTTATAAACCTTTTTTTAAACTTTTTTAACTTTATTTTACAAAAAAATTGTATTAAAAAATTTTAAAATTTTTAGTTTATGAATGAAATCAATTTACTTTTGTTACTTTTAAATTATTTATTAGAAACTAAATTAATTACAAAATAAAGGAAACATACACAAAGAACATGTAAAAAATATACTATAATAAAATTTTTTAAAAAATACTATTTATTGACTTTAAGTTGTATTTATATAATGAGATTAAAAGAACAAGACAAATTTTAATAAATTTATTACTAGAGTACATATAACAATTTATTCATAAAAAGAAGAAGCCAAAACACAATCCATGACAAACTTATTTGTAAAATTTAATAATACATAAACTCAGACATAATTGAAATTCATGACATAGCTATTCCTCGTTACGATGTCTCCGCGGTCGATAGTCCATGTTATTCGGATAGCGGGTTCTCGTAGGTCGGCCGGTTCGTGTGGTCTGTCGTGGCGTTAGCCTCAGGATCTCGTACTCTGGAGTAGGCCATTTAGATTCATCTGGTAGCGGCATTATGATGCCAGAGTAAGCGTTGATGTAGGACTGAATTGAAAAAACATTTGGAATCAAATGGTCCACGGTGACCCTACAATAATGACATACTGCGTGGACATGATTGCACGGGAGGTGAAATGTTACCCATTGACCACAACTACATGTTCGTGCATTTAAGTTCACCGTAAATGTCTCCCGCTGAGCAATGTAGGACGATCCATCCACCACCACAGAGTATATCCCTTCTTGTGCGTGGTGCTGCACAACACGACAATACAACCTATTTTCTTCATTTTTCCTAATATGTTACCACACATTCATAGGAAAATTGTACCCGGATTGCTGTCATACATATCCATTGTACCGCAGCACCAATGGCACGACCCCGCACCAGCACAGAGTCACCCATGATTACCTCCAACAGATACAAACTAACCTTATTTCCCGTCGTGTTGGGAAATGACCTGCCACCCATCAACTTAAACATGATAGCTCTAGCATGCTGTTGGTAATCAACTTCTACACTGTGCTCTGACAACGCCTTCGGATCAATTGCAGATATCTTAATCGTAGAAGACGTAATATCAGATGGTTTAGGTATAAAACCCATCATGTCATGACAAATCTGAATCCACTGATCTCTTGATCGACTAGTGACCCCCGACAATGGAATGCCATCTATGGGCAATCCAAGTAAAACCTCAACATCTTGCAGCGTAATTCCCACCTCTCCAAATGGAAGATGGAATGAATGGATCTCGGGTCTCCATCTCTCCACTAAAGAAGTAATCAGAGCACAATCTAACTGTAATCCACCCACTTTCTCCACCCCATAAAATCCATAATCTTGTAAGATCTCTATAACACGAGGTGGTCTATTAGCAACAAGAGTTCTCAGATATATACTAGAACAAGTCCTATGACACTTTAGACTCTTTTTGGCATATTCTTCGTCCGCCCATACCGCATCACACCTATGTACTCCGCCTTCAAGAACTAAAACGTCTCGTGAAATAGGTTCCGGATGAACATCCATTTGCTTCAAAGATTACAGAATAACAATTTATTCATTTTAACAACTCATTTGTTTCAAACATTACAACATAAGAATATATTCATTTAATACAAGCACACAACTAGGCAATTAAAAAAACACATGAAGTAACTAATTATGTTAAAAATTATCTTAAAATCTCACAATTAAAAAATTACCAAATTTTTATTAATATTTAATGAATCGAATTCAAAATCTTACAAACTAAAAATATATATCAATTACAATAAAAAAAAATCACCCAACTTGGTAATTCTATATAATTTATGCAATTTTATAAAACTATATATATATATATATATATATATATATATATATATATATATAATAAATCTAAATATTATCATAAAATGATAAATATATATATATATATATATATATATATATATATATATATATAAATTAACTAAAAAATAAAAAATACCTCCATGAAACGGAGTAGGCTAATCCGAATTGTCCTGCGGACCGGCGGTTCCTCTGTGGTCGGATTTCTCCCGGCGTTGCCCCTCTCTGGTCGGCTGGTCAGATCTCCCGGCCGTCTCCCTCTCTCGTCGGTTCTCGTCGGTGGGCTGCAATGGCGAATGAGTGGATGGAAGGGAAGGGGGGTTGGGTTATCCGAATAGGGAGACGGAGTAGCCTAATCCGTTTGGCTTTAATTTCAACCGAAACGGATTTGGCTACTCCGTTTGGGCTTTAATTTTTTTAATAAAGTGAAACGGAATAGCGTACTCCGGTTGGTAAATAAAAAGCCTAAAACGGATTTGGCTACTCTGTCTCTTTTAAAATTTTCGAGTAGAAATGGAGTAGCCAAATCCGTTTTGCACTGAAAAAATTATCTGACTTACACTGCCAGGAAGGAATATTTCCTTTTTTACATATGTTGGTCATTTACTCTTTTTAATACCCCAGTATTCTTTTGTTGTTGTTGGATGATCATGGGGTTTACACTTACTCTCATGCCCCCCTTATTCATTGTTTTATCTTCATTTAGGCCTCTTTTTTGTGTTCGATAACTTAAAATAGGCAATGTAGATAGTACATTGTTGTGAACTAATAGTGAATGACCATGTATGTATTATTATTTTATTATCACTTTATTTTTTTAATATTAATATCATGATAGGTTCGGACCCGTTGACCCGTGGAATCGGCTCGTTTCAAACAAGCCGGGTTAGGTCCGGTTTCAATTTTAAAATTTTAAAAACTCGTTCCGGCCCGGACTGTTTTAATAAAAATAAGCCGAGTCCGGTTTATACAAATCTTGGGTCGGACCGGCCCGTGCCCACCCCTAATTGACAGTGGCGTGGCTGTGACTGCCACGCCTGCCACCTAAGCAAAGTCCCTAAATTGCCTCGTGTGGATGAAGAGAATTGCCATGCTTGGCAAGTCATGGGTGAGGCAACTATTCTTTGAATTCTTTCTTTTTTCTTCCATAAAATAAAAGATTTTTAAAAAGTAGAAGTATTTTTTTGGAAAAAACCTAAGTAAATTTATTTTTAATACTCTGTAGTAAAAATAAGAAATATGTAAAAAAATGTAAAATTTTAAAAAACCTAAATCTTTTATTTTTTTAGTTTATTTTTTTTAAATAAGAAATATTTTTATGAAGAGTATAGTTTATAAAAATATAAACAAAATAAATTAAAATAATTTAAATAATTTTGGAATATTTTTATTTTTTTATTTGAAAAAAATATAAATAAAATAAATTAAAATAATTAAAATGTGTAAAAAAAGTAAAATTGATAAAAACAATGACTTGCCACTGCATGACATGCCACTCCACTCTCATGCCACACGCTGACTGAATTGCTTTTTATTAGTTGAATTAATGGTATGTTTGAGAACATGAATTTGAATTTCAAATCCGGATTTGGCTTAAATTCCATGTTTGAGAAACTTAAACATTTGAATTTGGATTTGAATCAAATTTTTTACCTTCAAAACAAAGCTTAATTTGAAATCCATGCACCTCTTCTTGTCATTTGAAATTCAGGATTTCAAATTTTGGAATTGAAATGCAAGAATTGAAATGAAATGCTAGTTGCCAAACACTACCTAATAGACTATACAAAGTAATTTATGATATGTTTGGGAATATGGATTTGGTTCAAATTCTATGTTTGAGAAATTTGAAAATTTTGGATTTGGACTTGACTCAAATTCCTTTGATTCATAACAAGTTTAATTTAAAATCCATGCACCTCCCTTGTTATTTAAAATTTAAGATTTCAAATTTTAGAATTGAAATACATGAATTGAAATGAAATACTAGTTCTCCAACACTACCTTATATTTTTGTAAATAGAGTTTAAATAAATAGACATTCAAATGTAATGTTTATCTTTAGTACCCTTTGTAAAATAGCTCGATACATACAAATTCTTGATCCCAAATATTAAAATGTTTTGCGGTTAGTTGTAACAATTTGCATAAAACTGCAAAATAACTATTTGGAATTGTATGTTAACTGTTACATGCATTTGAATATTTGAGTGCAAACATTCAAATGTTACCCGGAAAGTTGTGTTATTTCATCAACCAACATGTCCATTCGAAAATTTGCCTACAAATACATGGCTCATGGTTTGTTTCGAAACGATGGAACTCACATACTCGTTCTAAAAACTTATTTTTAACCGATTGAAATATTTTGGTATAACAAAAAATAACTTAAATTTGAAAGCGTTTATACGCGATTCGCTAAGTCTATCAACTTATTATTCATGTACCAAATTTCTAACATTGCTTCACAACATTATTGTCCTTCCTAAATTTCCAACAATTATTAATATATGAGGCTATGAAAAGAATGAGAATAAGCGATTAACTGGATCATCGACTTTAGAAGGTGTTTGAGAGTGGCGCTTTTAAAAATTTAGCTTCTGTTTGGTGTGTATCTTTTTATTCTGTTTGGTATGTCGAGTTCTTCTATTTTCTACCACCATTTTTTACACATTATCTCATTTTGCAATACGAGATATATGGTGCTTCTGCTTTCAGTTTTTACGAAAATTACTTTCCCTACAATTTAATTTAATCACTCACAACACCATCTAAGTCTCAAAACGATGGACCGAAACCATACCTCTCAGCAATACAATTTGGTTTCATGGATCCCATGAGCCCAAATCCAGAATTTAAAGTTCATGTTACTATTTCAATTGCGAACGGAAGCCCTACCCCCCTTTGAGAAATGCCAAGTATATTTAGACCTGGCAAAACAGAACCGGAACCGATAACCCGAACCGAAATATCCGAAACCGAAACCGAAATGACCCGAAAAATGATGATCCGATCTATAACCGAAAACCTGAAATGATCCAAATCGAACCAAAACCGAACAAAATAATTCATATCCGATTTAAATCCGAAACCGATTAGATCCAAAACCGATAATATCCGAACCGATTAAACCCAAAACCGATTAGATCCGAAATCGACAATACCCAAAACCGATAAAACCCGAAACTGATTAGATCTGAAACCGATTATATCCGAAACCGGTTAGAACCTACTTCAATAAATTTGGAACTATGTTTTCCTGTCAATAGGCATATTATATTTTTATATTTTTTTTCTTTTATTTTACCATTTGAACTAATTACATTACTTGCTCATTCCCTTATAAAATGGGTTATCTTCTTGAAAAAAGTACAAAATTTCATGTCTTAAATTTATTATATGTAGAAACTAAAGATAAGTTATAGATATAAATGATAACGCACAAACAAATAAAATTTCCGTAATTTATAATACTGAAGTGTGATATTCTGTTTGAGACGAAAGAATTATATGATGAATTGTATGGAATAACTAGATTTTATCTTGATTTCATCCCATTATAATAAATTTTATTGATTTGAGAGTTAATTTGATTAGTTTCAAACCAATTCACTCAATATTAGTCAATAAAATTAGATGCTAGTGTTAGCATTTTGAAAAAACTCTCTAGCGACAACATTTAGTGTTATCATTTTCAAATTTGATCTACAGCATTACATTTAAGTGTAAAATTCATTATATTTGACTCTACTAAATTTAATTTAATCTATTTTCAACAAAATACACTCAATAATTTATAAATTTTGCACTCAATTGAATAAAATTCACTTAATTTCACCCAATTTTACTCAATTTTTTACCAAATTATATTCAAATGGAATATAACACTATTTGAATTTATCTCTTATCTTTTCATTTATAAACATAAATATATTATTAGTTGTGAGAAAAGTTTGATATTGCAAAACTAAATTTTAAAATCAATTTAATTATATTAAATTTATATCATAATTAAATATATATGTTTGCACAATTTATAATCCAAATTTGTAAAATATGACTAAAAAGTCAAAAAGGAAAGATTATTTAGGTTAGAGATAATATAATTAGAAAAATATATAAAATAATATGAGGTATTGAATTGATGATAGATAAATGTGATAAAACATAAAAAGAAATATGGATAGTTAAATTTCAATTAGAAAATAATATATATCCAAAATATATTTGATCCGAAACCAAAATATATCCGAACCAAACTAGACCCGAAACCAAAATATATCCGACTCAAATTGTATCCGAACCAAAATCTATCCGAACCGATTTATAACCGAACCGTATCTGAACCGATTCGAAACCGAACCAAACTGAAAAATGTATCGAACCGAATCAAATCCGAACCGAAATTTAACCGATCCGAACCGAACCGATTATAACATATAACCGAAAGATATCCGAACCGAAAAAATCCAACCCGAAACCGATCCGATTGATCCGATTGCCACCTCTAAGTATATCCAATTACAAATTTACATGACAAATTTTGATAATATCTTTTTATATAGACATCTAACATTAATTCGCATTTGTGAAAAAATGGAACAAAAAAATGTAAAAATGGCATCAAAATTGGGTCTTGGTCTCTTGGACATATCTTAACCATCCCTAATTTATTTGAAAAAAGGCAAGGTTCCCATGACATTGGTTCCCAATGTCATGGGATGACTCGGGGGCGCTGCGGTGCTCCGTTCATAAAATTAACGGTTCCTATCTCCTCTAAAGCACCCCACTCCGCGCCGACCCAAACACACCCCACCCTCTTCAATTGCATTTACACCCCACAATTTCATTTTGACTTTGGAGTAACTCCAAAGTCAAAATCAACTTGTGGGATGCAATTGAAGAGGGTGGAGAGTGTGTTCGGGTCGGAGCGGGGTGAGGTGCTTTACAGGGGGTTAGGTGGATAGAAACTATCAATTTTATGAATGGAGCACCGGAACACCGCCAGATCATCCCAATGTCATGGGAACCTTGGTGTTGAAAAAAAATCATTTTTCTTTTTTAATTACAGTTCTACCCTCTCAAGTCATATTATCACCAGTTTCATCACTTCCAAAACCCGTATATATTGGGTAGTACATCTTCAAAAACCCTAGCTGTTCTTCCATCGTCGGCTCGGGCTATCACAGGATCAAGGTTTGCATCTCTTTCCGAATCTCAAGCTCTCGCTTTCCTCTCTCCCCCATCATCCTTCATTTATGTGTGCATATAATCTTCGACATCAGTGCGTTTAAATAATTTGCATTCATCGATTTATGATTCTATGATCATGTATGATGTGCGTGGAAATGAACTCGTTCGTTCGACGTCTGTGAAGACGTGAATCGAAAATAATCATCTTTTCATTCTGCGGTGTTCGGCGATGCAGGAATGGCTCCGAAACAGGCCAGTTCTGGGCTTTTTGTTGGTCTGAACAAAGGCCATGTGGTTACCAAGAAGGAGCTAGCTCCAAGGCCCTCAGACCGAAAGGGAGTAAGTCTCTTATGTGCTTTCTGGGCCAATCTACTCATAGACCTTATTTATTACGGTTCATATATGTATATAAACTTAAAATGGTTAATTGTTGGAATTCAAAATTTGATATTTATTAAGTTATATTTGCATTTGTAAAAACTACTATTAGTAATTTTAATTACCTTGGATATAGATTCTCTTGTTTTGCCCAATTTACTATTACTGAATCTGAATAATGAGCATGAAAGTTTCATCAAACTTTCAATATGAATTCCAAAGTTTAGCCTGTTGCATTAAATTAATAGTGACTATTAAAACAACTCTAGTTTTATGCAAAATACTTTGGGAAATGTTTACACCAGCTTTCTGTTGCATGAGAGGGAATGATAAGATTGAATTTGCATACAGTCATTCATTGGTGAGTTGAGACGGTGGCGAGTTGAGATATTTGATATTGACATGAAACATAGCAAGATTCATTGCAAGACTACTATTGTAAAATCAGCATGTAATTCATGGATACATGAACAGAATGCTTGCTGGTTATTTGAAAACATAATTGTGACATTTGCAGATCCTGATTCTGTTATTTCTAATGATTTATTTGGGAGCATGTGTTCTTTAACCTACTGAGTTCATTGAGTTGCCAATCATTCAACCACTTTTTCTATTCACTTTTGCTTCTTTGATTTTTTTTGGGAATTTGGTTTAGAGTTGTCATCTTTTTAATATTCTCAAATTTATGTTTTTTAGAAAACAAGCAAGAGAGTCCATTTTGTCCGGAACCTAATCAGGGAAGTCGCTGGATTTGCACCATATGAGAAGAGGATATCTGAGCTTCTGAAAGTTGGAAAGGAAAAGCGTGCTTTGAAGGTAGCCAAGAGAAAGTTGGGCACTCACAGGAGGGCAAAGAGGAAGAGAGAGGAGATGTCTAGTGTTCTCCGAAAGATGAGGTAATTTTGCAGATTTTTACATGATCAGCACAATAATTTTGTATTGCATATCCATTTGTTGATTCAGATTTTTCGATAATTACTAGCTTTTCGTTATACTAAAGTTTCATGGCTTCTGTTTCTAATGCTTGGTGGAACCACTGCAGGGCTACCGGAGGTGGTGACAAGAAGAAATAAACATTCTCGAACTAGGGTTATGGTGATGTCTTATTTTGGAAGTTCAATGAGTTGAAGTATGAGCTGATTTACATTTTCTGTGTATTTTTGTTGCTTTTCGAAACAGATTTACTAAACAAAGTTCCCCTTAATATTTTCAGTCCTTTGTAGACTATTTTCCGCTATCCTTTCGTAAATTCGCCTACTTCGTATCATTTCTGGTTTGGATCATGAAGGTTTTTCAGTCCTTTTGATCTAGCTGTGTCAGTGGTGTTCTTGTTACCTTGCAATGACCAGGCCCCTGCCCAATTGCTCATCTGTTGATGTAGTTAGTTTTTATGTGATGACTCTTTAGACTCTAATTAGGGATGTAACTATATGAGTGAAAACAAAGTTCATACTTTTCTTTTCTATTTAGGAATAAAATATGAGGCTCTTAAGTTTTCACTTTCTGTGAAAAAAGTTTATTTTTGAGTTTCTACCATTTTTATTATTCAAAAATTTCCTTTCTTGATTAGGAGGTTTGATTGATTTTTTTTCTTTCAATTTACAGTATATGAGTACAAGTGTAAAATTCTAAAATTAAATTACTGTATATTTAAAATTCAAATTGAAAGTTTTTTAAAACAATATGTTACATGACTATTTTAAATTATATTATGAAATAAATAGTAAAAATATACAAAAATGTAAAACATCGTGAGACAAATGGAGTATTAAATGGTATAATCCCATTAAATTACCCAAATAAAAAAAATATCTCTAGATTGCATGGTAATGAGATGATGTGATAAACATGAATATGGTGATAAAGTGTGGCGGCAGTGCGGTGGTGGATCACCGCTCGATAGTGGCAATGCCGATGACCAACGGTGGCACTTTGGCAACACACGGCAAGTCGGCAACGGACAGCGGCTCCTACGACCTCACGACACGGTGGCGGGCCGGTCAGTAGCAGATGACAATGTAACTTTTTGGAGTGCCATTTCTTAGTCAGCTTTGTCTTTTGACCCAAAAGTTTTTGACGCGCACGGCAGTTTACCTTCCCCCATGGTAGTGGCGAGATGGCCGATCCGCTGAATCTGTTTATCTAACCTTTCTCGTTCCATACCTTCTCCATTAGTCCATTTCATTCGTTTTTAGCAAGAGACATGGCGGCGGCATCCACCCTCACCGGATTACTACAGCATATCGCCGGAACATTCCCCTCCAGGAGAGCCATATCCGTTCCCGGCAAGTTCGATCTTACTCACGCGCGCCTTCACGACCTCGTCGAACGCGCCGCTTCTTCCCTATTCGCCGCCGGCGTTAGGCCTGGCGATGTCGTCGCTCTCACGTTCCCCAATACTCTCGAGGTTCGTTTGCTTTTCCTCTCTCTTTGTGTGCCGCGAATGGTAATCTATGGTGTAATTGAATTAATCCGAGGTTCAATTTCAATTACAGTTTGTGGTTATGTTTCTGGCTACTATTCGGGCTCGGGCCACGGCTGCTCCGCTGAATTCGGCTTACACGGCGGAGGAGTTCGAGTTTTATTTGTCCGACTCCGAGTCGAAGGTGCTGTTGATTCCCGAAGAAGGGAACGGGGCAGCCCAAGCCGCCGCCGCCAAGCTTAATATCCCGGCTGTTACAGGGACGCTTTCCGGCTATGGATCGGAGATTTATCTGTCTCCAGCTCCTCCCGGATCGGATCCTGATGCGATTTCGGAACTCGTGAACGACCCGAATGATGTTTCACTTTTCCTCCACACCTCCGGCACCACCAGCCGCCCCAAGGGCGTTCCCCTTACTCAATTTAACCTAGCTTCTTCCGTGAACAATATTAGATCGGTTTACAAGCTCACTGAGTCGGACTCGACTGTAATCGTTTTGCCTCTGTTTCATGTTCACGGGTTGATTGCTGGGTTGCTGAGCTCCATTGCTTCGGGAGGATCCGTCACGCTCCCTTCCGCCGGGAGATTTTCTGCTTCCACTTTCTGGCCAGACATGAACAAGTCCGAAGCCACTTGGTACACGGCCGTGCCCACCATACACCAAATCATATTGGAACGTCACCTCAGCAAACCCGAACCTGTATACCCGAAGCTCCGGTTCATCCGCAGTTGCAGTGCTGCTCTGGCTCCGTCCATATTGGTCCGGCTTGAAGAAGCATTTGTAGCCCCAGTTCTAGAGGCTTATGCAATGACGGAGGCGACCCATTTGATGGCTTCGAATCCGTTGCCCGAAGATGGACCCCACGTGCCTGGATCCGTCGGTAGACCCGTGGGTCAAGAGATGGCAATACTGGATGAGAATGGCGTGGTACAAGAGGTCGGGGTTACAGGAGAGGTTTGCATTAGGGGACCAAATGTGACTAAAGGGTACAAAAAGAACCCGGAAGCCAACGAATCCGCTTTCAAATTTGGTTGGTTTCACACTGGAGATCTGGGTTACATTGACTCTGAAGGGTATTTACATCTGGTTGGCAGGATCAAAGAGATGATCAACCGCGGAGGTATGTATGTGTGTGTGTGGAACACACAACATTTTGGTCTAAAAGAACTTCGTTTAAAGCATGGTCTCACCACCATTACTTTGTTCCAAATCAAGTTGGCTTTGAGACTCCAGAGTCCAGTTATGGTTAAAAATTAAGGCTAAAACCAAAAGTCCATAGTAGTTTCATCTGATCTTACTATATTGCTAGATAATATATTTCTCTTTTTTATCTCCCATCATTTCAAATGTTGAAAATATTTCATTGTAGGGGAAAAAATATCGCCAATAGAAGTGGATGCTGTCCTCATATCTCACCCAGAGATTGCTCAAGCTGTTGCTTTTGGGGTGCCTGATGATAAGTATGGCGAAGAGGTGAGAAATCTATTTTGCATCAAGTGTGATATTATTTTCTTAGATTTATTTGAAATGCTTTAATTGAGAAATAAGGACAAAATGATAGTTAATAAATCACTCTGTCCTTCAAAATTTACCCAAGTGAATTTTTATGGTTGGCATTTGTGTATGACCATATATACTACTTTGGGTTTTACCAGATAAACTGTGCAGTTATCCCAGCTGAAGGGTCAAAAGTTGATGAAGAGGAGGTGCTGAGGTTCTGCAAGAAGAATCTTGCAGCCTTCAAGGTTCCGAAAAAGGTGTTCTTGACAGATTCTCTCCCTAAAACAGCCACGGGCAAAATACTGAGGAGACTAGTGGCCGAGCACTACCTTGCTAAATAAGCTATCTCTTTTGTACTATGTTGTTTCTATGTATCCTTTCTTTTTGTTTCTGCCAAAATGTTCTGATTTCATTTATGTAGCCAAATAAGTTTGTAGTGCATAACAGAAGGAAGTTTTGATCCTTCCAACAGTTGCTTAATCTGTATGTTCTTCCACTGATGAATAAACTCCCTGTATCTTTCTCCCAACATACTTGTTCATTAATTATTGTCAAGATAGCAGTTGAATTGCAAGCAACATATCCCTACCAAAACTACATTCTTTAACATTGCTGATTAGGTTCACTCAAACAAACACTTTCTCACACCACACAACTTATTATTACCCAGAAGATGAAGCTTTATGCATATACATTATACACGCACCCCAAACCCACAACAAAATCACATCCTTTTCCAGAATATATGTATATTGTTCTTCACTGCCCAGATTCTTGAAGTCGCCTCTCTCCCATTGCATTCTTATCATGAGCCCCTTCCCTTTGAGTCTCTGAATTTTAGACAAGATAGAAAGATCAATCAGTGATAGATATCTAAGCAATAAAAAAGGAATGGAAGGAAACAAACATTCTCTAATATTCAAGTTAGTTACCATTTGTGTTGTGGCCTGTAGCTGTGGCCTTCGCCTCACCGTCTCTCCCAAGCCACGAGTTCACTGCCCCTTTCAGCATATTCACCACACCCTTCTCTCCAGTTTCTTCCCTCGGACTATCGTCAATAGATCCCAATCTCCTTGCAACTTCCTCAGATTCAGTCACTTTACCCATCGGCCTAGTAGCTTTCCCTGCTTCCTCTGGTACCTCCTTCTGCCTTGAAAAGGTGCCCGAAATCACATCAGACAGGGCTCTGTCATCCTCTCCGGGCTTCAATTTTTCTGCAAAGTACTCCTTCATAGACACTCCTTTATCACTCTTAATACTTTTCTCCTCTTGGCCTTCCTCATTCCCCTTCACAGTGGCCTCCCCTGTTCCAGGGCCATGAACTTTCGACATTAACGAGCTTCCAGCAGCTGTTACTTTATCATACACCGGTGCCAGTTTCTCCTTCACCGTGCTCGTAACACTCTTTCCTCCTCCTCCTTGCTCGCCATGTTCGTTCACATCTCTGCTTGCTTCCTTTCCCTTCTGTCCACCAACCAGAGGAAGTTTTTCAATTGCAGCACTTCCAGCACCTGCAACCTTCTCATACATGGGTGCCAATTTCTCAGCCACTGTCATTGCCGTGCTCTTGGCGTATTCTGCACTTTTACCTACACAGCTCCTACCCTGTTGATCTGACGGCTTTCCATCAATTGGATTAATGGGAAGGTCTTCGGGTTTGGTCGGATCAAACCTCTTGGGAATTGGATCCACAGGCGTATACTTGTCTCCCGGAGCAAACTGGTCATGACTTCCTGTTGTTGTTGTTGTTTCTGGCTTACCAACTTCCATCTTCCCAAATGATTGAATAAGCGGGCTTAACACCACCTCATTGGCACCTTCATACCACCACAAGTAGACATTAGAAAAAGAAAAATCTCACCTCAAATGAGGTAAATAAGATTGAATGTTTGGCCTTACCAACGCCAGTTGGATCAGAGGTTTTACTCTGATAGTTTGAGGGCAGGTGGGGATGGTCCGATGGGGCTTGAGGATCCTCCTCTAGACCAACCGGTGCTCCAATCTTTACAACCCTGGGCTGTTGCAGGACATCACCGCAGGTGCTGCCATGGTCGGGTGGGTGCCTTTGCAAAGGCACACGAGTGATTCCTGTGGCATGTCTGGGCTCTACTGCTTCATCAGGTATGATGATCCCTTCATCTTTCAACCCTAAACCATAATGATCCTTCTTGGGATTCATTGGCTTAAGGCTTGGCTTCTCCCCATGACCAAAATCATCCAGAGTTCTGTGCTGTGTAGCAGTGTTGTTGACTCCATCACCAACTGATCATTAATTATTTAATGTAAGTATGAATAATACATAGTAGTTAATAAACTCGGAACTAAGGTTGCGTTCTGCATCTGATTTTAAAGTGAGAAAATAAGTTTGAACGGAACAGACCCTAAAGAAATAAATCATCAAAGAACACAAACATACTATGACCGCCATGGACGTTTGGGTCAACGTCCATTTCATCGTCATCATCATCTTCGAGCGAATCATCACCATCGTGGCCGTGGCCGTGATGCTTAAGCGTGTCCTTGATTTTCTTGGCCTTCGCTTTCACTTTCTTCAGCACCGACTTTTTCTCGTGTTGATGTTCGTCTTCGCCTGCACGGACCCCGCCACCGCTTCCCCCGCCCCCTACTTTCTCCGCAGGTGCTGCATGCCCCCCAAGAAGACAAAGCCAAATCAACCCATTTAACTCTAATGATTCATTAAAATGTAAAGAACCAAATCAAAGAAACAAAAAAAGTTTAATTTAGAGACCTTTTTCTTCGTAGTTATAGGCTTGGCCGTCATGTCCTTGTGGGCGTTGTAACTGTGTCGCGTCCATTCTAATGTATCTGTTAACTGTTTGTTTTTTGAAGATTACGAACCGTGGAGAAGGGGATCGATGTGTGTATGTATATATATTACTCCGAGTATAAAACAGGGGTAAGAAGTTCCCGGAAAGGATAGATAGATGTTGTAGGTGGTGGATAAAGGGGATTATGAAATATGAAGGGTGGGTGGCCGCCGACGCCGCCACATGCACGGCGGTGGCAGGGAGAGAGCGACACACGTGTTACGTGGGTGACGGATTCTAAAACTCTTGGACTCGTGGCATGGCCTTACAGGATCGAAGCCACTACGTGGCAGGGAAAATGTGTTTTCTATAATACTCCCTCCGTCCCTAAATAAACTTCCCTTTTTGACTTTTTGAGGATTTAAGGGAGAGATATTTTTGTGTTGACTTTCCAAAAATACCCTTGATGTGATGTGTAAAAGTAAGATGTGATATGTAGATTATTAGTAAAATGGTATGATGTGATAGTTAGGGCATAAAAAAGTAAGGGGTAAAAAGGGTTTTTTAAGGGAAAAGAGAAGTTTATTTGGTGACAAAGAAAAAACGAAAGGGGAAGTTTATTTAGGGATGGAGGGAGTACTACCTGTCTACCTCCGCCCTTATTTGTTAGCATTAAATATTGATACAAGAATAAATTTTTAAGATTTATCTTGTAAAATATTTTCAAAATAATTTATTTATTTAATTAAGAAGTACTCCGTATATAATACAATGTAATTTTTGTTTAAGTATTGATCACACATCAATTCTAAGGGAGAAAGACCAAAGTAGGACTAAGACATTGAATATATACCAAAATAGGACTTCTATGTTTTTATTCCCAAAATAGGACTTACATTACCAAATATGGTCATGTATATTACCAAAAACATATAGTAATGTGCACATGTACAGTGTCACATTACCACAATGCAAATTCCTATTTCGGAGAAAAAAATATGAAAGTCCTATTTTGGTACTTTTCTCTATATTTTAGTCTTATTTAGGGTAATTTCTACCATTTTAATTGGTCGTAAAAAAAATCAAACTTGAACAATATTCTTGACAGAGACATATATACGGTGTACTTCTCGACGGAGTATTTCTTAAAAAAACCTTTTGTTTTCATTATTCACGAGGCCAAGTTTTAATTTTTAATTTATTTATCAATTTTTGCTGAACATATAATATGATCTTTATTCTCTGTCTCAAAATATTTTATATTTTATGCAAAATGAAGAGAAATTTCAAAAACTTTTAATTTATTTTATTTAAAGATTGATATAAAAATTAAAAAATAAAACTTACATATTAAAAATTACATCAAAAATTCTACAAAACAAGAGATGACATGAATATTTTATTTTACCACATATTCAATCAAAATATATAAATAAATAAAAGTGTTCGTTACTTTTGAATAGTGAAGAATGCAATTCTTTTTAAGGCGTAGAGAGATTGTTTTTCTATACCCTACACAAATAAGCTTACACAAATAATCCCATTGATTAAAAATTGTTCCAAGTGTAACTGGAAAAAAGGTGGAGAGCATAAATTTATTTTTTAATTTACACAATTTTCTAAATACGTAGAATTAGAAATAATTTTAATTTAACTCGGGTTAGATAAAATGTAGGACTTATTTTTGTTACTGAGGATATACCTTTAGATAGGAGTATTTGGTGTGGAAAACAAGTTTTCTTGTTTGGTTAGAAAGGAAAACTGGAAGAAAAAGAGAATGAGAAGACAAAATGTACCAAATGGAAGGAAAACCAAATTCCTCCCATTTTGTTGAGGAAAATGAGAGAAAATCATTTTCTTTTCTTTTCCTTCAAAATTCCTTGAACCAAACATAGTGTTAGAGTAATTCGAGAAATTTTGAAGGATGATTAAACTGGAATTCTTAGCATTCATGCCGTTGATTGTAGATTTGTAGTGATTGATTGGCTTTTTGGGATTCTCCCCTCCTCTTGATCCAAAATATAAATCACACGGTGTATTGTTAATTATGATAGTAAACATAATTATGTTTTCTTGTAGTGTTTGGGTTTCACGTAGAGTTTTATATATGAGTTATTATATATTTTGGCCTTCTTTGTGTGTAACATTTATTTAATCAAAATATGGTAGTATTTTTTCAAATACCACATTTCTTTTGAAAACTTCTAATGTCATATTATGACAATAACACCTACGGTATTTCGATCGAAAATTGATGGTTCCTATCTTCACAATCCACATGTCCCCTCTTCCCAAAATGACTAAATACTATAGTGGTTTTGATATTTTGGGGAGAGGGGCAATGAGGGATACTGCGGTGGAGACAAGGGGTTTAAGAAGGATTAGAGTGGTAGGTACCATTACTTTTTTGATCGAAATACCATAGGTGTTTTTGTCATAATATGACAACAAATATTGTTGTCTAAAGAATGGAGCCCTTCAAATATTATTAATAATGATTAAAGTTTGTTAAAAAAAGAATGAACCACATCCTCAAGAACCCTTAAAACAAGTCGGACAATCACCTGAGATGCAGAAATCTCTGGATAGGAGTAAAAAAGTTCGAAAAATACTAAAATAGGAGTCATGTGTCTTTTAGGACAAAAATAAGAGTATAATGGTTGTGTGGTGTAAGAGTACGCGTTGGCAGAGTGATAGAAGAGTGATGACAGTGTATATGTCAGTGTGATCAGTCAACCGTCGGTGATCAGCAATGGCACTCTGGTGGCCGGTGACAACGGATGGCAGTGTGGCGGTGATAGTGTGGCAGTTATAATGTGACAATGTAGTGAGTGTGACAGGGTAACAATAATAGTGCAAACTCTTATTTTGGTCTTAGAAGGCATGACTCATGTTTTGGTATTTTCATAGTCTTTTACACCTATCTAGGGAGTGTTCCTAGAAATTGAACTCGGATGTTACCCAATTAGCACCCCTGTTCTTGCCAACTGGACAACGTCCACCCGCCAAAAAGCCGAGCTGTGTGTTTTTTAGTGACAAAGAGAATCGTTAAAATCGGCAGACTGCGAACAACAGGCAGAGTGTCAGATAAAATTAACCACTTGCATATAAAGACGGGATCCATGTTCTAATCCAAAGCTAAAGCTAACAAGTAGGACTTTACTTCCCTATATATGCTAATGGTATTCTTCATTATTTTCCGATATGAGAACTCTAACACTCCCCCTCAAGTGGTAACTAGCCTCACCTAGTTAGCACTTGGACAATTCTAGCATCTCAATCTCTTATAGCTAGCTCACACAACGGGCGGTGACATCTCAATCTCTTATAGTCAACTCAACCCAAATACGGACGGGTAGCTCAATTTATTTAACCCACATCCAAACAACCAGGAAGAATCAAACCCAGACCAAACCTGCTCTGATACCATGGTAAAATTCTGGCGAGTAGAGAACAACGGTTGAAGTGTCGGGTAAAATTAACCACATATATATATAAAGTCGGGATCTACTTTCTAACCCAAAAGCTTAAACTGATAGGTAGGGCTTCACCCTTCTATATATGCTAGTGGTATTCTTCTCTATTTTTTGATGTGGAAACTCTAACAAGAATGCATAGGTTTTCGATGATTCTTTAGGGTATGCTTGGTTGGAAGGGAAGGATTCCCTTCACCTTGTTTGATTGGGAGGGGAAGAAAATATTTTTTTTCAACATTTTATTTATATTTTTCATTTTTAAATTTGTTTTTTAATCTATTTTTTAAAAAAATTATTACTAATAATTTGTATTTGATTTTTTGATTTTATTTTTATAACTTTAATTTTATATTTTTATTACTATTTTTATTATTTATTCTACTTTTAAAATTTTTATTTTCTTATTTAATTTTAAGTTTTTTAAATTTACTTATATGTGTGTGTGTGTGTGTATGTATGCTACCACAATTTATTTTATTATTATACTTATTTATTATCATTAATTTTTACTTTTTTGTTTTATAATGTTTTTTATTTATTTTCTTATTTTATTATTAGTTTTTCTTTTGTTATATTAATATTTTTGGGGGGAACGAATTGAAGGGGAGGGATTTGGAGTTAAAAATTCAAGTTCCTTCCCCTCCCATTTTATTAAACCAAACAAAGGAAGGTG